CTCTAATCACAATGGAGGGACGGACCGGCGACCACCGGCGACAACCGCCGACAACGCAACCGCCAGAGCCTCTAACTGAGCATGGAGGTTCACAAAGTGCTGTGCCTGCCACGTAAGATGTGTGTGGTCTCTCTGTGTGTGTGTCTCTGTGTGTATGGTCTCTGTGTGTGTGATCTCTGTCTGTGTGATCTCGGTGTGTGTTGTCTCTGTGTGTGTGCTGTCTCGGTGTTGTCTCTGTGTGTGTGGTCTCTGTGTGTGTGATCTCTGTGTGTGTGATCTCTGTCTGTGTTGTCTCGGTGTGTGTTGTCTCGGTGTGTGTTGTCTCGGTGTGGAGGGAGGAGGCGGCGGGAAGCGGGATGAGACATAGAAAAGAAGAACCCCACACTAAGATGTGGGGAAAAACACCAACCAGCAGTCACAAAGGGGTGCCGAACTTGGAGGATAGGGGTGCCCAGAACATCCACTCACTGGATGGGACTAAATACCACCCAACTCCATGTGACTCCTGGAATCTATCTCAATTGGGCCAACAACTGCGCCGTGATGGACGATTTCGCCGTGGACGAACCGGCAGACGTGACTTCACCGTGCGGGGCCAGGGCGAACTTGGCCATGTGTGAACCCCGCAGGTGACAGCTGTCTTTGAAAAAAAGCATGTGACGTTGACAGTCGTTTTACTATGAGTGATGTGTGGTGTCCCACAACCACCCTCTTGCAGGCGACTTTTTGGTGAGCCACAAGGCATTTCCTGTACACTCCATGGGGCACACCATGGTTCCAGCTGCAAGGCTGTTACGAAGTACAAAGCGGTCTTGGGGCGTCCTGTGGAGACTGCCCAGTGCCCACTGTTAGGATGGTCCCTACTAATTAGGGGGTGGCCATCACTATGTCGGAGGCCGCTCTTAGGTTGGCGGCCTCGTGGACCCATGTAAGGTCGTTGGACAATAGACTCCCATAGACCTTTATAAACAAAATGGAACCTAGCAATCGAAGGATTGCTATAATTGATTATAGAACGATTTCTGATGGGATCCATGTCCAGGTTGAAGCAAAACTTTGGCTTCAGACCGGCCACTACCAGACCCTCAAGCCTTCAGCAAGCAGCACATCACATAAGCATCACCGCTTTGGAGATGGCCCTCTGAGCCATAGAAGCCGCGAACCTCTTCCAGAACCTCGAAGCCACAACGTCGGTACCTGGGCTGTCTCTATCCACGGGCCAAGGGGGCGAAGGGAACAACAATAATTCATCAACACAAACCATTTGACTTGGAAGTCCAGGAGGCTCCCAAAGAATATACATCCTTGATGAATGGATATACACATATCATAATTTGATAGGGGATGGTCTCCCACAGGTCCCCTGGAATAATTCTTCATGCAAACCCCTGTTTTTTTTCCCTAGGGCACATACCTTCTCAGGAGGTACGACTGGGCCCGACCCAGGCGCAAACATCAATAGTCTCCGTCCTCACCTTCTGATAGGATCCCTAGGGTATTTGGTTATCATAGATTTTGGCTGGAACCTTCTTTCCCCGAACTGGGCACCGATGCTCCATGGTCTGGAACATGGTCTGGGGCGGACTGCGCAATCCCTGAAATGAGGTACCAACAGTTACGGTAAATATTTTCATGGCCTAAATATGCCTATAGAATTATAGATGATCAGAATTGGCCAGTCCATGCCAGTTCCAGCTACATCATGGCCAGCTCCGACACGAGATCGACGTTTCTGGCGCCGGAAAATACGCCGGAGCCATCAACAAACCCGACCACTCGCGCGGTCGTTTCGCGCGAAACCGAGTCTACAATTGTCCTGATTCTTCAGTCACCAAATTCGGAAGACCTCTGGGTTGTTAAGTTGAAGAAGCGACTGGCAAAACTGCCATGGTTGTTCTTTGAGTGAGACTGCATTCCACGAATGGATCGTGTGATGTCCCCTTTCTGCGTTTAATGACTAGAATCTGGCTGCCTGTGCCTGCCGGATCAAGGCCCCAACCCTGAAAAAGGCAAATACAAAGTCCCTACATATTTCGGAGTTGGGGCAACCAACACAAAATGAACAAACTTGATGGAAATATCCATGATGGAGGCACCAAAGGATATACTTATATAGCTGCCACTACCTCTGGCGTATATATATATATATAGAGTATATGAATATAAACAGATCAGGAACCGGCTGGTCATTTCGCTATTTCCGAAATACTTCCACCATCTCGCAAATAATTATTGACCCACATTCAAGATTTTTCAATTGTGATCGCAATCCCTTCAACTGCAGGTAGACAAACGAAATCACGAAACTGCGATTCCACCCCACGTCACCTCTCATATCTCCACCACTAAACTATGAGTTTTCAAACCGTTTTCAGCAACTCGTAACCCATGGATTCATCCATGAGCATCCATTAAATAGGCCCTCCATGGGTACGGTCCGGGCACAACTTGATGGCTCCCTCATTGCGTGTGTGCACATGCAGCTCCACAGCTTGCGCATGATGCCGTTGTGCCTCGCTGAGCGCCTCTTGCAGAAGCTGCTGGGCCACACCATGGGACCGGAAGAGGGGAAGCACAGCAATGCTCGTGACATAGCCCCGAAGATGCTTGGGGTCACCTGCACCAGGAGGTTTGGAACTGAATTGTCAACAGAATGCTGAAAAACGCTGAAAGTCAGCAAGGCAACAAGAACAAGACATACTACTGGTACTACGAAGATGTCACCTCCCAAACTGACGATATACACGACAAACATTGTGTATTTATCAAGCATACGTCAAGCAAATCTTAATAGGAACCGCCAAGCTGGCATATCATTGTACCCTCAATCCAATTGTCCAACGCAGCTTGCGGCACATATGGGGTGCACGTTTCTTCGAGAGGCAAGCAAAAAGCAAAGTGCTGAAGGACGAGGGGTTCTTTGAGCAAACTGTACTTTTGACTGGCGCAAGGATAAGTAATGAACATGATGCATCATGTATGTGTAAAAAACACAGCTCAGTAAAGTATAGTGTAGTATACTGTAGTTACTATAGTTTAGTTCAACAAAGTATGGCATATCTTAGTTCAGTATAGTAGTACAGTACAGTATGTGCAGTAAAAAACTATGTATGTAAGTATGTGAGTCCGTCTGTTTGTCTCTCTGTATGTCTGTGTGTATGTATGTATGCATGCATAATGCGTGTATGTAATGCACCTAATGTAATATAATGTAATGAATGCAATGCAATGCAATGCAATGCAATGCAATGCAATGCATGGATGCGTGCATGTATGTATGGATGGATGGATGGATGGATGTGTGTATGGATGTATGCATGCATGTGTATTATTGGAATGGAATTGAATGGGCTGTGTATGTAAGTACATGGCCGCTCATGCCGTTAATTATATGCTTCGGTGCTGTCCGACAGTCAGATCCCAGGGCGCCCTCTATCAGAGCTTCTTGCAGCCCCAAGCACCTCCAAGTTCCAGGATGAGATATCCAGCGCAGCGCCCTGATGTTTTGCTCACTGCCACATAGCTGGTATGGCCATCGTGCCCCAAGATGGCTTCGAAGGTTTCCTGGGAGAACTAAAACGACTTGACAATATGGGCGTGGGTGAAAACCGCAACGGAATCGCGTACTCAGTTGGAGGTCGGCAATGAGTCTTGAACCATCCCCAATGTAATGGTTTTGGTTTTGATGAGCCAGCAAATTGTGATGAGAATTCAGAAGTCAATGCGGGAAGCATGAAAAGCGGAAAGCAGTCAGTGCCAGTGCATGTTTAGTAGACCAATATAGGCCTCCGAAACCAAACCCCAAAATAGCAAAGGGAGCATCAAGCTATCGATATGCCTATCGGCCTATCTGCCTAACTCATCTGCCTATCAAAGCATCAACCACGGTTAACCATGGTGAATCATAGTAGTTATGCCGGTGTTTAACGAGTTTATCATTAAACATGTATCACTCTATCTGACTATTTAAGCCAGTCAACTATTTAAGCCTGCGTACCCATCTATATCTAGCTGTGTATCTGCCCGTTTTCCTCGCTCGGTCTACCTATCTAGGTTATTTACAATTTTGCCTATCTAGCTATACTTTGTGTACCTATCTACATATATTTGTATCTCGATATACGATGTATACAAATATAGCTACCTGGTATGTTTGTCTATCCATCTATGTTATCGATGTATCTCATCTATCGCATCTTTCAACTTTCCATCAATCTATCCATCTGTCTATCTACTTCTTTGTCTGTCTTCAAAAATTGACCTATTTACCTACCTGTGTATATTCATCTGTCTGCATAATGTGTCTCTTTATCAATCTACATATTCTATATACACACTATTATAAATAAATCATACACTAGTATTTCTCTATCGACTTTATCTGTTCATCTTACGAAGTGTATGTGATTCAATCTGTCTCTATCATTCTCTATCTATCTACCTAGCTAGCTAGCTACCTACCTATCCATCTAGCTCCCCCCCTATCGACCCCTGCAACCTACCTATCTAGCTATTCCTACTGATAATCCCCTACCTATCTGTCGATCTGTCATGTCTTAACAAAAAAAAGTCACTCAAAAATGGCCTCGCTCCGGCTCTATCTGTTTATCCCTCCGATCGGGCTTTTCGAGCTGCATGTGTGCGGTGCAGCACTGGGCGGGCGCGGACTGCGGACCCAGCTGGTGGTCCAAACACCAGGAAGTCACAGCTATGATCAGCTGTGCTGGCCGCAGCTCTTGAAGTCTTGAAAAGCACACTTTGGATGCGAACATATTTTTGGTCCAAATTTTAAAGCGAGACTTCTACAGTAGTCCAAATGAAGTTTCTAGATCAAGTGCTTCAACCACCTCATGTTTTAGCGCTTTCTTGAAGAAGTCGAGCTATGACCACAGTGGTAGGCCACAAAGATTTTTGGAGACGATTTCACGAAACCCTCCGCTTCTTTGTCGAGCTTACTGTCCCGACTTCCAAATGCACAAAACCATGCGATGTGCATCCTCCATAAATCTTGTAGGATTCCTTGCTTTCTTTTGTCATCAACCCTGTCACTCGGAAGTTGCTCTGCTAAAAATCCTTTAAAAGTCTTTCAACATCTTTCAACTAATGGTTGATACTCTTGAACCATCAAGAATACCACAATGCTAAACAATCCGGCGATGTCCCATACCCATTTTAGTGAAAAATCACTGGCGCCATATCACGCTCACTGTGAGCGAAAAAAAAATACTCACCACCTTCCAGCTATTATTGCTGACTGTTCTGCCTGGTTTCTCTTGAGTACGGTTGTACAAAGCTGATGTTTTCGACTGCAAGCACGGCATCCAAATCCTCTTTAGTCATCAGTCGTATCCCACAGTCTTCTGCGATGCTCTCCTCTGTCACCTCCTGTAGTGGCTGCTGGATGATTGGTTCTTTACTGGCTGAGATTCTGATACTGGATTAACAAACCTGGTAGTCCAAAGTCGAACCACTGTTAACTTTAACAATGATTATCTATTAATTGGCTATACTGGTTGTGGTATGTTGTGGTCGTGCCCGACTGCACGCAAGCGGTCAAAGGACATGCATGACTCATCATGTTGCTCTGAGCAGCCTGGATGCACCCAAACCAAGAGAGGTTGAACAGCCCCATAGCCCATCCCATATGTACCGCTACAGGGTTCTTTATGGTCTCTCAACCTCTCTTGGAAACGTTCACTTCTTGCGAATGAAGTGAACGTTTTGCCCAAGGCAAAAGGGTGGCCTTTCGAGATGCCGGGGCAAACTCTTCGAGATGAAATGTTGTTGATCGAGTGAGATGCAAACAACGGGTTCGGTTTTGTAGTTACAGGAAAACGACCTAGAAGCGCCACCTAGTCGCACCTTGTTTTCCTTGAGCCAAAGTCGTACGAGTGAGACGTAAATGTCAATATGCTAGCGTGAAACTACACCCCCCGCTGAACGAAAATGGGGAGGAGTGAAGACTATGTACAGTGAATTGGGACCTACGAAGGCAGCCGGTCCCCCGGTACGTGCGATTCGGACGAAACCGGTTCCTGCCTTTGAGATGGAGAGGATAATTGACCTCAAAGGGCACGAAAGTCACTGTCAAGTTCATTCTAGTGTTCACTCGTACTGCAAAGCTATACATGTATTGAGTCATCTCATGAAGAAACAGCACGATCTTTTGACGCATCAAGCGGTAAGTGCACGATTGGCCTTTGAGAAAGCAGAAGCATCACCGGTCGGCACACGCTCCCGCGTGGCGAATCAGCACTACAAAAGTATGTGCGTCTCTTGGACTTGCAATGTCACAGGTACTTCGACCTTCAACATACGAATTATACCATGCTGGTGCAAAAGCGAAGTTCGGCATCCGGTCCCCCGGTGCATCACAGAAGCGATCATCGACGGCAACCGCTCCCGCGGTGCGATGGAGAAAGAACAACCTCACATTTGAGAGCCATGCAGCCTATTGGATGTTTCCTTTTTGTTTGGTTTTCGATTTTGAATCCAAAGGCAACGACTCCCGTCGTGCGGATGTTTCTACCAGTTGCGAGAGCTCCACCAATCACGGTTCCAGCGATCATCACGCTGCCATTGGCTTGAGTGATCTTGCCACCACCCTTGGCTCCAGTCCCGGTCGCGATTCCACGATGAAGACGCGGATGACCATTGAGTCTGGTGCCAATCTTCGTGAGCACGTGCTTGATCCTGTGCAGCCCTCGCAAGGGCTTTGGCTGATGCGGAGTCTGCTTTCGCTTGAGGAACTATCATGGTCCTGGTCTCTTTGCCAAGTTGCAAGTCGACATTCGGAATGAAGGCTATGTCCTCAGCGATAAAGTCGAGCAGGAGCTGAAGAAGCTCATCTGGATCCTTCTCATCAGTCTTCCACTCAGAGTGGAATCCCAATATCGGTGGACGCTTTGTGTTCTGGGCATAGCTTGCTGCAAAGATCTCAGGTCGGTAGAGTCTGTTTTTCCAATACACCAGGAAATCTTTGCTCATGTCTGCCTCTCCCACCTTCTCAGGATCGTTGATGTAGATCAGCTTTCCAGCATAGCGATGGCCGACCCCCTGCATGATCATCTGATGTGTTCTTGGAGGGTCCGGAATGACCGCATTTGCTAATTTCTCCAAGAAGCTGATGCAGAGCGGTGAAAGATCTTGAGCTGCGCAGTTGAAGGCGTA